AATTATCATCTAGATAATCAATTTTACCAAATAATATAAAAACCACATTTATAAATCAATATAAAACTCGATTGAATCATCAATTTTATAGAATATAAAACCCCAAATTTTTCCAAAACTTAACTCACAGGCACTTTTCTACAATTTCGAAATTATTTGTTTTAAATTTTAAATTTTAAATATAATGACTTATGAGATAAAGAGTAATATATTTCTTAAAATAAAAATTTTGATGTAGTTTTTATTGTCAAAAAATTGTGTGACCCGGTTCTTTTGTAAAAATCGAATGTTAAAAACGATTCTAGAGTATAAGTCCACTCGACCCATTGTAAGACCCGCTGTCCTTTTCTCTCTTCCACTCTCTTCTCCCTCACTTCACATTACTTTCTCCTTACTTCTCCTTGCCTCATCCATTGATTTCCTTTACTTCTTGCTGTCTCAAGGTGTTGATTCTCAGAGGTTGAACTTGCTGAGATGTGGGCGTTTCTCTCCTTCTCTTCCCCCGTTCAAGCCCTTCTCCACTTCTCTTCTCCGTTTCCCTTGCCGGAAGCTCGGATTCTCGCACCGAGGTAAGGGAAGCTAGTAATTTTCTTTCTTTTGTCGCTGTTTTTGGTTGTGGATGAGTTTTAGAAACTCATTAGATGCTTATGGATGGTTGATTCGTGGCTGTGTTGAATGAGAACCTGTTTTTGGGGGTTTCGGGGTTTTTGAGAAAATTTGGGGAAATCCGTGATTTGTTGTTGCATGTTGAAAAAGGTAGTATTTTTGGGTTCTAGGATGGAAATGTGATGCTTTGGACCGATTGCATGTGCCTGGGAAGTTGATTTTGCAGGTTTTTGGGTGAAATTTTCGAACTGGGGAGAGTTGCTGTTTGAATTCGCGCTGAGCGCAGTTCTTCGCGCTGAGCGCGACTTGAAATGGGGACTCACTGGGTGAATCGCGCTGAGCGCGGGGAGAACCGCGCTGGGCGCAATAGACCTCTGTATGTCTCTGGTTGAGACGCGCTGAGCGCGAACTTGAACGCGCTGAGCGCGAATTTGAAGTTCCGAAATTGACTTCATAGTCTTCATGAAAGTTGTAGCCTTGGATGTTAGCTTTCCAATGGCGCTGGAATCACCCAAAAAGGAGTTTTAGAACTCCAGTTGTGGTTGTTTTAGTGAAGAGGGGTCGAGCTGTCAGCTTTGGTTATAGCTGTTGCGGTTTTCATCATTTTTAACAAGGTAGATGAAGGAATTTGGACTTGGTGTCTTAATGAGAGTTGTAGGAAATTTGATTATCTTTCATATGAGATAAGGATGAGCATGGTAGGAGTAGTATAACTCCTGATGCGCTGTTTGCTGTGATGGTTGCCATTTCACATTTAGTGATTTGGTTAAGTTTAAAGTTGTTTTAGGTGCTTAGGTGTATTGGTGTTGTTTGGGTGAGTAAGTTGTCAAGATAGATGAGTTGTAAACAAGATGGTTGGGTCGTATTATGTGTTGAACATGTTGTGCATTGTGAAGTTGTTGATCATGTTGTTTTAAGCTGTTAATGATGAATGTAATTGAGCTGAATGATGATATTGATGTACTGCGCTGAGCGCGAACCTTGTCGCGCTGGGCGTCAGACTCCTTGGGAGTCTCTGCCTCGAGGGCGCTGGGCGA